GAAAAGATACAAATGTGTGCTTCTTCAGTGCAGGAAGTGAGATGTGTTACTTTGAGAAACGTGCTTCATAAAACATTATGGATCTCTGATGATTTCTTTGTAAGAGACTGGCTGTTTCTGACACAGGAAATAGGTGGACATATTCCAGATTATGGTCAAGAAGGAGAAGACACAATTTCCTGTAGATATTATAGACAACCTTTATAATTATCCCAAACTGGGGCCAAAGTCTTCCTTTGAATGGTGCAAGGGGGGTTGCTTTTATCTTCTAATGGAAAAACAAACAGACTTGCTATTGACTCCAATTAGAGTAGGATCAAGCCTTTTCTTATTGTGAAATTGTCAAGTCCTTAGGCTGGAACTAGGTGCTTGAGAAAAGAAGGGAAACTGAGCTTGTGCCTGAAGGGAGACTGACCCTAGGATTTGTGTTCCAAGCCCATGCAGACCATCATAATATATGTTCTTAATAAGAAGAGTTGTTTGAATTTTTTTTAATGAAGCTTTTATTTACACAGAAAATGCCTTGTCTTTTCTATGCCTTTTTGGGTCAAAACATTTTTGTGTAACTCCTTGAAAAGCATTGTTTTGATCAGATAAACATCCTATCGAGTGTGTGGGGGGGAGGGGGAGGGAGGGACATTTAAAAAAAAGAAAAGACACAGTAGTTCTTTTCCCACTGACGGGAGTTAAGAAAAAAATATATAAAATTTTCACTAAAAAAAAAATCAGAGAAAATGTTGAAGAAAACTAATAAAGGTTAATGATGCCAAATTTTAAGGAGTTGCCATTTTGACAAGTTCTATTAATAAACTATGGTAGGGTTAGAGTGATGTTGGAGCCATGGTGATCTAGACCAGTGATTCTCAAAGAGGTTGCTAACAACCCCCTGGGGTGTCTTGAGATCCTTTTAAGGGTGTTGTGTAGGGTGCCACACAATGTTAGCACTATTAGGTCTGCAAACATGATTCACTGCATAAACCTAGACATTTTAAATAGGAATCCATAGTGTCAAAACCAGTCTGACCATAGTGTCAAAACCAGTCTGACAGTCATATGCTTTTTCTGAGTTCTTTGCAACAGAAGAATTGTTCCTTTATTTTTATGTAGTCAAAAAACAAGTGAAAACTAACAGCTGATGCTTTCCGAGGGGTACCTTGAATCTAAAGAGGTTGAGAACCACTGGTCTGGGAATTACACAAAAAGCAAGGATTACTTTGGGTGATATCTTTGGGTGCAGTTGGTGCAATAAAAGTTATCATGCAAAGAAATCATTGTGTCTAACATTAATAAACTATCACACTTCACTGCTTAAACTCTTGACAGTATCTTTTGTAACCTGCTTAAATTCAGTAGTACAGCTAAGGTGGGGTGACAAGAGCATCAGTCCTGGGCAATAGGCCTGTGTGAAGCAGCTAGTATTCACTTCGGATTTGGGTTTGCCTGATTCGGTGATTTGAATCACTGTCCCGAATCAATTCAGCCGAATCTCCAAATCAGCCAGGCCCATCCCCCTCCCACTCTCCCAGCCCCGGCAATGGCTGCCCTGCCTGCCCCAGCTCCTGGCACTTTGAAAAAAAAAAAAAGCCCCGATTCACCAGGTGCTGCCAAGCAGGGGGCAGGTGATCCCTGCTGCCCCCCACTGCCCCATGCTGCGTGGGGGGCTCTGCCATGAGCCCCCCGCCC